CGCGATGTTCATGCAGGCTGCATGGGCCCTGGTGTTGTGGAAGCACACTGGCAACTCGACGGTCTGCTTTGGGGTCTCTCGATCTGACCAGGAGGTACTCCAAGGCGTCGATGACACAGCAGAGCTCCTAGGACCCTGCATCTCCATGCTGCCTTGCAAGTTTTCCCTCGAAAATCCTGCAGCAATGACTGCTATGGATGTGCTGCATGCAGCTAAAACCGCCGCCTACAGTGCAATGAGCTATTCGGGCTGCTACCTGGCAGAGCTGCACGATGATCTGGGCCTGAGAGACTCGCCACTGTTCGACACGGCAATGACCGTCCAGCGTGCTTGGCCAGCCGACCTGGGCGGCGACGGCGCCCACCTGGCGGTTGAGACGATGGATGGCGAGGATCCGACCGAGTTCTCCATCGTCGTTGGAGTTTCTTACTCGGACAGTGGACTCACGATTCGGCTGGCACACGAACGTTCCCACGTTTCCGACCAGCTGGTCGAGCGCATCGCGGAGACCTTTGCGAGGGTCATCGAGTACATGATCCAAACACCGCATGAGCCCCTAGTCCATCTTGACGAGCATTCCTCTTTGCCAGCTGGGTCTCTAGATCTCCTGAAGCAATGGAATGCAGAGCCCCCAGCAACGGCAGCGTACTCAAACGTCGTCAGCGCCTTTAGGGCCATGGCTCGCTCGCAAGGATCTGCTCCCGCCGTCTGCTCGTGGGACGGTGATCTGACTTACAGCGAGCTGGATCGTCTATCCGATCGCCTGGCGTACAAGCTTCGGATCGAACATGGCGTCCGAAGCCAGACGGTCGTTGCCTTCTGCTGCATCAAGACAACGAGCGCCGTCGTCATCATGCTGGCCGTGTGGAAAGCTGGCGGCGCCTTCTTGGCGTTGGATATCAACCACCCACCAGAACGTCGAACGGCCATACTGAGAGAGGCGGAGGCTACATTGATTCTTGTCAACAAACCTGAGAGGGTCGACACGATAAATAACTGCTTTCCAGGCGGCGCCGTTGACCTGGTGGACATGACGGCTCTCGAAGATTTCAAACCAGACGATGCCGATGTCCTCGATGAGTTGAGTTCGTTCACAATCGATCCGTACCACGCCGGCTACCTCGTGTACACATCTGGAAGCACGGGGCGTCCTAAAGGCATTGTGCTCGAACACAAAGGCATCGCTACAACCGCCCAGGAGATACCGCGCATCATGGGTGTCACACCACAAAGCCGCATTCTGCAGCTGAACAACTTGGTCTTCGACTTCGGTCTCCTGGACATCATCTTTGCCTTGTACAATGGAGCCTGTGTGTGTATGCCGTCCGACGCGGAAGCGTCCGGTGACATCGCCGGCGCAATACGACGCACCAGCGCGAACTACGTGCAATGTACGCCGACGTATGCCACTTTATTCAGCCCGCAAGACTCCCCGAGCGTGCGGGCAATCGTACTGGGCGGTGAAGCTCTCAGACAGGAGAACCTTGACACCTGGGCCTCTCATGCTCGCGTCATGGACGTTTACGGCCCGGCCGAGGTGGGCATCTCAAGCGGCAGACCAGTTGCCGTCAGCGAGAGCGGCGCCATCATCCAGGACATTGGCACTCCCGTTGGCTGCCGATACTGGGTTGTCGATCCGGACGATCACGATGAGCTGGTCCCAGTGGGAACCACCGGTGAGCTCCTCATCGAAGGCCCTATCGTCGCCCGCGGGTATGTGAACAGCCCTCAGGCAATGGCTGCTGCTTTCATCGATGCGCCTGCGTGGACGCGACATCCCGAGCTCGCGCATATGGGCCTCGGCCATCATCGCTTCTACAAGACGGGAGATCTCGTCACGCAGAAAGCAGCAGACTCCTTTGTCTACGAGAGCCGGAAGGACACTCAGGTCAAGATCAGAGGTCAGAGAATTGAGATGGGCGAGATCGAATACCATCTCAACCGACAGACGATGGGAGACGCGAAATGGGTGGTCGACGCCTTTCTCGAAGGCCCAGGCCAAGAGAAAACCTTGGCTGCATTTTGTCAAGTGTCGAGCAAGGATGCCACAACCCTCCCAGCGTCAGGGCTCGGCGATGACGTCCTCTCAGCCATGCCGAAGGCGGCCGAGGCAGCCGCAACAGCCCTTCGACAAGTGTTGCCGTCTTACATGGTGCCAGAGGTCTTCATTCCTTTGCGGAAATTTCCCGTGGTCGGGCCGATGAAGACGGATCGTAAAGCTCTGCGCACGATGGCAAGCGGCTTCTCTACGTCCGATAAACTGTCTTATCGTCTTGATGGACGACAGCAGGGCGTCAGTGGCCTTGTGCAGCCGAAAGCTGCTTCTGGCGGCGAGCTAACAGATCTCGAGCTGTTGCTGCAGCGCACGTGGGCTGCTTTGCTCGGTGTTCCACCTCAGTCGATTCGGCCCCAAGATGACTTCTTCGTCCTCGGAGGCAACTCCATCCGGGCCATGCGGCTTGTGACGGCCCTGAGGAAGTCAAGACACCGTCTCGGCGTCGTCGATGTCTTTAAGCACCCGACTCTGGCAGAGATGGCGCTGAAGATTGGCCAGCTTGCAGGTGACCGCAAGGCCGGTGTCTCGCAGAAGCTCGCCTCTGTGCAGCCGCGTGATTTCCCTCACCTGGGCGTTCTGGCGAAGACGAGGACATGGTTAGACACATCTAATATCGAGGGTGTCTCTTTGGCAACAGATCTTCAGGCGCTCATGCTCGCCATAGAGCATGTTCCTGGCTGTGGAACTATGGTTGCAACCGTTACCCTTGAACCTCTCGCAGGGCCCAAGCAGCAGAGCCTAGATCACGCTAAGCTGCGAGAAGCTTGCGAGCAAGTCATCCGCCATCATGGTATCCTGAGAACAGTCTTCATCCAGAACAAGCAGTCCCTGTTACAGGTGACGCTGCGGAACCCGCCGGTGGAGCAGATTCACGTGCTACGTGCAGGCGAGACGAGCCAGCACCGAGTCTCCGTATCGTCGGATATGCTTGATATCCTTCCTCACTTTGACCTGCACAGCGATGACAGTGGGTTGCTCTGCACACGCCTCAAGCTGACCTTCCATCATGCTCAATACGACGCCGTCTCCCTCGGCCACCTCTTGGGTGATCTGAAAACTGCGTACGCCGGGACGGCCATCGTAACGAGGCATCCAAGCTTTCATGAGTGGTCGTCCTACGTTGCCAATGCTGATGGAGTAGCCGAGGGGCAAGCCTTCTGGAGAAAATTGTTGAATGGTTCCATGTCTCACCCTTTGGCACCCAGCGGCAGCACGAGGCAGCACCAGCCTGTGTCAAATGCACAGCAGAACCAACACCTTACATCATTCAAGGTGCCGACCGGAAATCTTGCAAGCCCCAACGGAACTCCTGCGACGGTCTTGAAGGCCGCGTGGTCCTCTGTTCTCTCCCAGGTGCTCGACAACCCTGACGTAGTCTTCGGCTTCGTGAGCGCTAACCGCTTCTCTGGCACATTTCCTCGCGGTAGCGCGGAACAGGTGCCTGGCCCGTGTATCAATCTGGTGCCCATGCGAGCGGCCATGGGCGATGGCACCAAGACCATGGCGACTCTCGTCACGGAGCTGCAAGACCAGTACAACCAATCCCTTCCGCATCAGCATGTCGGGTTCCGCTCTATTGTGAAGCACTGCACGCAGTGGCCGACGAGCCGGTTCAACTCGGCCATTCTGTTCCAAAATCACGAGGCGATGGGCGATAGCATCAGACTGGGAGATACCGAGTGCGCGATCGTCGGTGTCGGGCGAGGCGCAGACTCGGCTGACGTCTGGATCTCCGTGGTTCCGGAGATGGATCAGACGCTCAGCATTGAACTGAGATTTTCGCCGGTGCAGGTACCGGTGGAGCTGTGCCGGTGGATCTCTAGCTGCTTCGAGAGCCTGCTGAATACTCTGTCGGGGTCGTGGGAAAGGAGAATACATGACGTCCATGAGAAGCTTTTGCGCGCCGCGGGGCCAAACCCGTTGTCTCCTGTTCGGTATGAGAGGGACACAGCCAGGGCAATGGGGGCCGATCCGGAGGACGTTGTTGATAGAGTGCTTCAGGCAAAGCATTTCGAGTACCTCTGATAGATTTGTAGCGTACCGCACAAGGATTGACTCCGTGGCTTTGGATGCCGTAACAATATGGAATGATCCACCGCATTTGGTCCTGATCTTACAACTGGTCATGTCAAAGCATGGAGTTAGGCGCCCTATGTCATCTTCATTTGGATCTACCCAGACTAAGTCAAGACTTTACATAGGCTTCATAGAGAATTCATGGAGATTTCGATTCTTTTGCTTTAACTTCACCACTTAGAGACTGATAAGCTACTGTTGATGCATAAAAGTAGAAGAATTAAACCAACATCAACTAGTAAGCACTTACGGGGATAAACAAGAAGCCATTAGAACAAATGAGACCAGATATGGTTTCATGCATCCTTACTTTTGACGTATGCATACTTAGGTTATAATCTGATGGTTGATTAAATAGCTAATGAAGATAATGTCTTTGGAATCTGCAGCCGGCTGGTTTATACTAATAGAAGCCTTATTGGAGGAGACCGAATGTTCTGGTATTAGGTGGACTGATGTCCATTTCAATTTTCTTCGCCTGCGTGAGTGATTACGCACACTTGGCACGGATTCAAAGAAACGAGCGAGTAATTTGGGGGAGTACCGCATGGTGTAACAATCGCGTGGTGGTCAGCAGCCACGATAAGAATACGAGCGCTGCCAAGATATTCCAATCCAATGATAGGCGAGAATATCGGGTGAGAAATGGCAGGCCTATTGCAATGACGCGTCGCAACTCTCAATGGAATATTGCTGCCTGGAAGCAACTGCCGACATAATATGGCCGCGAGTGTAAGATATCCTTTGTTATTCGTTTTCCATCTCCTATCCAACGCGCTGGAACAAACACATTTCTACGAAACGCCACTAGCTACATCTCTACAGTGGTTTATCTTCCACTACTTCTCAAAACCTCTCCTACGTCGCAATGCTGTTTAAAGACAGCTCCGTCGAAGATCAACGCCGGGCAATGGCCCAAGCCGAGGCCGCCGGTCTCGAGCTGCTCGGCCCTTGTCCACCTCATCTAGGCGAAGCTTGGATCGACATCCCGCTACCAGATGGACAAGTGAACCGCACGAAAGTCGTTTGGCCAAAGGTAGTCGAAGGCCAGCCTTCGCCTCTGCAAGCTTCTCTTATCGTATACTTTCACGGGGGCGGTTTCGCCGTCGGCAGCCCAGACATCGTCCTCGCACCCGCTCGAGGCTTCGCATCCATGTTTCCAACTGTCGTCGCCTGCCCGTCCCTCAATCAACTCCCGGAGCAACCATTCCCAGCGCCCGTACAAATTGCCTGGGAAGTCTGCGCTTGGCTTTCTCATGCGAAGCACTTGAACGGCGGAATATTGGAAGCCGAGGATGTCAAAGTTGACCTGCAGCGTGGCTTTGTTATTGGCGGTCTCAGCGCGGGCGGCGGTGCCGCTGCAAGTATCGGTGGGATATCCGCGGCGATTTCGGCCGGGCTGGGTGGCTTCGATGGTCTCAGCCCCTTGAGAAGTCCCATCACGGCGATCTTCTCGGGCATCCCGATGCTCGCCACCGAGACGATGCTGCCGCCGCGTTACAGGGAGATGTTCAAGTCCCGTGAGGAGAACGGCGACGGTACCGGCCAGACCAGTGCAATGGTCCGAGAACTCGAGGAGCTACTCGGCACTGCCGTCAATACACCATGGTTCTCGCCCATTCACCTGGACCCATCAAACCCGGCAATTGCCAAGAACCATCCGCCCAAGGTCTTCACCTATTACACGACACTCGATCCGTTTCGCGACGATTGCCTGATCTACAACAAATGGCTTTCGGAATTGCCGGGCGTTGAGTCTCGAACTTCGGCGGTCGAGAATGAAAGCCACACAGCGTGGGTGTCGCTGCCGAGGCCAGAGTGTCATAGTCGGAGGATTAAAAAGGTCACACTCGACGGTCTTTCTTGGCTGCTTAATGGTAGTTGGGACAAGGAGAGATCAGATTTGCCTAATTAGACTATTGCGAATGTCATGCCAGACTCTAAACAACCACTCTGCTCTTTGTTTCAGAAACAAATCCCAGGTAGCGATGCTCTTGGTTTATGAGCTTCACTCAAAAAGGCCCCGCGTTTGTATCTGGGCAGTTGCGTTACAAATGACCTAAAGGTGAACCTAACAGCTCTGTTATAGTTTACAATAGCCAAGAACCTTCCTCATTGCCACTGGAAGCGTCGAAATGGGACCCGTTAGACTACAGCAGATGACTCATAATGAGCAACTTCGGGGTCCAAACGCAATTGGTCCAAACCGTGTTACTGCGTACTAGTCATGATATTTACTCAACAAGTTATGTTACACTATAAATGTATTGAAAACTAGAAAATCGCAACATTTCAGTACTTCTTCAGTACAGAATCTGCCCTTTCATTAACACGCCCAAGATGAGCATCTCTGTTGTCTCTGCCGTCGAGCTATACAATCCCGAGGCTGAGGCAACACTCGGTTCTGAGGTACTTCTCGGGCCCATCGATCACATGGTCTTTCCAACTGTTCCGATCAACGTAGTCTTCATCTACGAACGGCCCGAAAGCAACTCCGTCGAGGACTTCATGTCGGTGCAAGCGCTGCGACTTTCACTCACACGTCTTCTCAAATACTATCCCCACCTCACGGGCCGCTTTCTGTTTAACACAGTCTCCCATACATTCGAGGTCGGCGCCTTCTCGAAAAGTGTTGCTTTCTTGCAGGCAAAGTGCGATGCAACCCTGAGCGAGATCGCTGCTCGGACCCAATCGGGTCGCATGACCATTGAAAACCTGCCGGGCTCCGGCAACTTCTTGATGCCGCCTTTCGAAGCCACGGTTGAAGGTGTCTGCAGGGACCCCATCCTCGCAATTCAACATACTCGCTTCGCGTGCGGCGGAGTGGCCTTGGGAATCCGCTTGCATCACATGGTCTGTGACGCTGGCGGCTTCTTCCAATTTGTGCGAGATTGGACGAGAGTCCATCAATTCTTGTCCCTGTCATCCCCGCCGCAGATTAGTTACTACCTATCGGCACCCGATGCCATGTCTGCGGAGGAAAGTCTTGCCGCTCTCGATGGCAACCCGCTGTTCTGGTACGCAGAAGATCCGAAGTCCCAGCCGAACCCGGTCGAAGTGCCGAATACTTCACCCATGAGCAATCCACCAGTTGTTGGCCACACTTTGCACTTTTCCAGCGAGGACCTTTCACTGCTGAAGAAGAAGGCCACGAATCCCTCTGGACAAGGTTGGGTCTCTTCCTTTGAGGCTGTGTCTGCGTACCTCTGCCAGGCCACCTACAAAGCCCGCCTGCGTCTGCTCAAAGCGCAGGGAGGGCCGCCGTCGTCGGCCGCCTCCGAGTTGCGCCAGGGATTTTGGGGTTCGATCGACACCCGTGATCCGTCGAGGCTCAATCTAGGCTCTCGATATTTTGGCAATGCATCTCTAAATATTCTGACCCGCTTCCAACATTCCACTCTCGCGGACGGCGAGCTCTGGGAGGTGGCAGAAGTAATCCACGACTTAGTGCGATCGATGGACAGGACGCGCATGGAGAAGACCACCACGTGGTCTGCAGCGCAACCTGACAAGAGCCGCGTCAAGTTGGACTTTGACTTCGGCACGGGTAACTTCACCGTCAGTCAGTGGTCCAAACACGACATGTATTCCGGTGTCGATTTCGAGAAGGACTTGGTCGGGAACCCTGTCAGACCTGCTCTTGTTGCTCCCCCTTTCACGGAGGTATCTTTGGTGGATTGGTTGGCGTGGATGGTATCATCGCCACCAGAGGAGGCTCGTGAAAGAAATGCAGATGGGGCTACCAAATCTGCCGCGTCGCAACCCATTGAAGCGATCTTCTCAGTATCTAAACCGGTGTGGACATTGCTGAACGATGAGGAGGGATTTCGGAAATTTGCGTGCTAGAGACAAGACATCTCAACTTGCTGAGCTTGGTTCGGCTAATTTTGTACCTTTAAGAAACAATCGAATCATTTATGATCGACATCGACCTAGAGCGCTACATACAAACTTGGCATACAGCCTCTTCAAGTCCTTTAGCAGTCGGCAATTTGGTTAACTTTTCCCCCATTATTGGCGCAGCCCGTGTCGTAGTTCGCCTTGTACTCTGGTTGGGAAATGCAACACTGTTCTATTATTAGTAACGGGTAGGCCCCGAGAAATAGCATGTATTCGAACACTTACAACGCCGTTTTGGCCAGGTAAGGGTGTTCCGTAGGCGTCATTGCAGAGATTGTTTGATGGGTTGATTTGGCCGTTTGACATGACGCACGTGTACCCTTTGTACACACCAGCAAGGACAATGCTGCAGACCAATCAGTACGTTAACAACCTACTGCAGCTAATACTTGAGAGGTGTTCGAAGGCCAAACTTACGCAGTTTGCGCTAGGGCAACGGCAATCAGAGTTGACTTCATGGTGTGGACTGATAATGATCGAATGCAAATGCAGAAGTAACTGATTTACCGCTTATCCAATAAGAAAATTGGTTCTCTAGAGGTTCGTCTGAAGCACAATTGAGCGGCAGCGGACGGGATTTGTACTTCGTCGTTCAATTTTGTACCTCGTGCAGAAGATTCGTACGAGTCATATTGTTGAGCAGCACATTGTGGCTGATCACCGAAATCTCTTTCCTAAAGTGATGAAAAGAGGATATTCTCAGAATAAGGTTCTCTCGACAATCTATGCGAGGGGGCGGTCGCTCCGGTCTCAAGGCCTTTCTGATACGCCATTTAAGCGGGTGATTAACGGGGTCGGCGCGCATTTCGGCACCCCGATTGAGTCCGAGTTACTCCGCTAGAGCGGCCCGTTCGCGATATTCCAGGCTCTGCTGGAACGAAGCAGGGTCTCCGTCGACTGCGGAGACTTGTTCCAAGCTTTATTCCCTTGCTTTTGCTGGCGATAAGGCGCAAAGCCAGTACAATGTGTTCCAAGAATAGCTATAAGGTAAAGGCAATGATGCTTTTCCCACACGTATGCTGGTAGTTCCTGGATGGTAGATGTCTGGTCTAAAGGATATAGGCAACACCGCCTCTTCACCAAAGTGAAGCTGTAGACCCTCAGCCCATTTTAGCGACTAGTTTCGATGGTCTGGACAACTCGGGGGGCGCGACATGGAAAGAAGCAACGGCACCAGGCCATTGCAAAGCTGCCCTAGCCATATCGCATTTGCGGGCGGTACTGCCCCGAAGCTGACGTCTGACTGACTCACAAAACCCTTTTTGAAGCACCAAATCAATACGAACGGCTCTCAAAGGCACTGGCAATTCTTTAATCCCAAACGTCTGAGATCTGCTGGATGGCGATAGGGACCGTATATGGTATGACGTCTATGTCAAGGCTCTCAAACGCGAACCTAGATTTTTAGAACCAACAAAGGTCATAAGAGACGCCTCTTAGGCACCTGCTATTACTGTTGTCGTGAGTTCCGACGTGTGCGATGACCGCTGCATTATGAGGAATCGTTAGAACACACAGCTCAACTAAAGGTTCCCGCTCTCTGCACTCGCTGCTCATGTTCTCGAATACATAACATTTATTCCATCAAAATCGACAAGTGTCGGACAAGCCACAATAAGTCGGCCGGCCCCCCTATATCAACCCCCCTTTTTCAATTGATCCAAGTTTGAGGGTTGACCTTAAAGCGGATTGTCGTATTGAGGTCCTGCGATTGATCGGTTGTCATTGGTCTTGTCAATTAATGGTATCAGCACAGATCTCCGTTCAGTCAGAGATACTGGGATGGAGAGGCGCCATCGCGATAATCGGGGCTCTATAGAAACGAGAAAGGATCTCTGTTGACCGCGGCGACCGTTCAGTCCGAGACCTTGGTAGCCTTGTTGCACTAGATGTAAATTGTACGGCGCAGACTTAAACGTGGGATCATACGTTAGCCGAGACGAGGCTATGAGTAGCAGTGTCAGGGACGCAATTATATAGTCCGTTCCGCTTCGACCGCAACTGGCAAGTATACCGTGTATATGGCAAATGAGACTTTGCTCCAGCCTCCATCCCCCGTAACATGACCTACTGAGATGATTGGACACGCGGTCTCTAGAAAGAGGCTACATAGGGGTCTTAATGGGTCGTAGCCCGGGGGAAAGTACATATTGACCAAGACTTGTGGCTATCAGATACCCTTTGCCAGCAGAGGATTGGTTAAATAAGAGTTCATAGTACGCATAATGCGAGCTTGTTGAGCTAGGTGGCTTCGATAACGCCAAGTAAGTTGCAAAGCCCCAGCATCTACCAGAAAAAGAATAGCATCAGAGGATGGCGTTCAAGCGGGAAGGAAAGTCGTGACAGCAGTTAACCATTCTAACGGCATATTTTTAGGAATAATGTTTTCAAACTAATAACCAATCAGCAGACAATGCTCATCTATCTACCGGCAGTTGCGTTTGGCTGACTACACTAAGTGCCATATTTAGCAAAGGGCGAAACGCAGAAACGTGTAGGTAAATAGTCGACTTTCTATAAACATTGAAACATATTATAAACTGTCTTTATGAAGTATACACACCCACGCTCGCTCCCTTCGAACTCCAAAAAATCACCATAACCCCTTCCCAGACTCACACCACTACCCAACACTCAGCCCCCAAACTCCGTCTCGACTGCTAACTTAGGCACGAGCGTAGCCCATCAAAGCCGGCTCGCCAATCAACTTGGGGAGGTACGCCAACAGCCTCACTCCAGCAGCCACAATCGAGCCGGCGGTAGCAACACCGTCCTCGAGGTTCAGCCCGGGCGCGATGAAGTCCTTGCACACATCATTCAAGTTGATACGGCCAATCTGCGCGGGGCCGCTGCCATTCTGCAGCGCGTCTTTGACGAGCGCGGCGGTGAGGGGGTTGAAGAGCGTGGTCGCATGTCCATAAACACCACCAGCAGGGCGGCCGGCGCAGACCTTCTGGACCTCAACGTTCGTAACACCCACTCGGCGCGCGTCCGTGATGTACGCGGAGGCGGCGGTGCCCTGCTGCGGCTCGACGACCTCGTCCAGCAGCGCAGAGTAGAACGTCGTGGTCGGCACGTACGCGTCAGCACCGCCCTTGGCGCGGAGCGTGGTCACGAACTTGGAGGTGTACTCCTGCTGGATGACCGACGGGTCGCAGGGGGCGTTGAGCGCGCCGGCGCCGGGGGAGAGGCAGAGCACGTTGGCGAGCACGGTGCCGTGGAAGTCGGGCGAGACGGGGAGGAAGTTGGAGACGACGGCGCGGGTGGACGGCCAGAAGGTGAAGGCCCACTGGGTGTCGAGGCCGCCCTGGGACCAGGAGACGATGCTGGCGTTCTTGCCGGTGATGCCGTTGATGTAGTTGGTCGCGTAGGCGACGTACTCGGAGTTGACCTGCGCGTCGCCGAGGAGGGCGCCGGGGACGTTGAGGAGCACGGGGTCGGCGTAGGGGACGCCGGTGAGGAGCTTGAGCAGGTTGCCGCCGAAGGCCTCGTTGGCGTAGGTGCCAGTGCCCGGGACGAAAATGACGGGGGGCTTCTGGCCGTAGGTGAAGGACTTGGGGATGTAGATGGCCTGGCGGAGCTGCTGCTCGGTGAGGGAGTAAGGCGCGTCGGCGGCGTCTTTCTTGGGGTAGATGGGCTTGGCCGGGTTGAGGGGGTTGAGGTTGCTGGTCGAGTCGAGCGGGGTGAGGGGTCCGACGAGCTTGTTCACGATGGAGGTGAGGTCGGCGCTACCGAGGCCGAGGAGGCCGCTGCCGCCGAGCAGACCGCCGCTGCTGAGGACGCCCTGGAAGCCGGAGAGGAGGCCGGCGGGGACGATGCCCTGGCCGATCTGCTTCTGGATGTTACCGTAGAAGTCGGGGGAGCCGCCGGACTTGGAGCCCCAGATGGCGCCGAGCTTGGTCTGGAGGTCGTTCGCGTTGAGAACGTTGAGGCCGGCGGTGGGGTTCGTGCCCAGGATGCCGGAGAGGGACTGGACATAGTTGGTCGGGAGGGAGAGGAGCTGGGTGACGCCAGAGAGGGAGTCAAGGAGGCCGGCGGGCGCGGCGTCGGTGGATTGGAGAAGGATCGCGAGGATCGCGGCTTGCTGGACTGGAGAACGCATTTTTAGATGTTTGTTCTGTTTTGGTTTTAAAGAGAGAAAGACTGCAGTGAATGTTGACTGGATTAGTAGTTAGAAAAGAGAGACAGAGATGGAGAGACAAAGATGAAGTGCTAGGAAAGAGAGAGTAAGTCTTGAGATGACAAGCCAGTGAGTTGGATGAAGAACCTTTCTCTCTCTCTTGACGCCGGATCAACTGGATGCTTATATCCTTCCTTCGCCCACGACAGGATTCAGGATTCCGTGTTGATGTTGATGAAGCAAAGACAAAAAAAGCCGTTGCCGTGCGCCACAAACGTCTTTCGAGGAGTTGAGGGGAGCATGCGAAGGTCAAGCGCCCTCCCGCCGGCCTTCCGCAGTCTAACCCAAGCCCCTCTCTCAGCGAACAAGTCTAGCTCGCCATCTTCAAAGAGCGTACAAGCAAACGTTCTCCTACTAGCCGCGCCGATCCCAAGCTAAGCATTCCCCATGGCAAAAAAGATCTTTACGGCGCGGGGGAGCGAATGGCAACCACATAGAGATCTTCGGTGTTATTGCACGTCGTATTGGGTCATAGAGTTCGGTAGTGTTGTGCTCGTGTTGCTGTATTGGGAGATGGCGGCTAGTCTAGCGTGCGACCAAGCCGAGGCGCCGCCTCCCGTCCAAGGGCCGCCCGTCGTTCGTTCGTTCTATTCTCGCATGGTTCTCCCCTTTTGGGGCGCCAGCCGGAGCGTTTGTGAGGTTCTGCTGCTGGTGTTGCTGCGCCTGTGGTTGTAGGCTTTGAGATGGAAAAGTCGGATTGCCCTTTTGTTTGTAAGACGTCGTTGGCTCGAAGTTAAGCTTGGTCGAAGCGCCACAGCCGGCCGCCAAGCAGACTTCGCGGCTAATCTTCAGGTCGAACAAAGGAACAATGAACTACCTCGGCATCAACGGCTCCCTTCATCTCCTCTCCCAACCTCGCCTTTCCCCTTTTCCCAATTCTTCCTCAACGAACGAAAAAAAGAAGAAAGAAGCTTGCCCACGACACATTCCCCTAATGCTACCTAACCCCTGAACCATCCTTGTCCCCCCAGATCCAAAACCCCAAAAAAACCATCCGAAGCCCGCCGTCCCAGCAACCCCCAAAGCGCCCAAGCTCCCCAGATAAGCTCACGGATATATAAACATCGCCTCGCCACACGGGCGTTTTCCCTCTCTTTTGGCGTCCAGCTCGGACGAAACAAAAACTCGCCCCCTGCCCCCGTGAACATGGGGAGATTTTCTCCTCGTCCAGTTGGCCTCGTTTTTGACAACCAACGGCTCCGGCATTTCTCGTCTAGCCCACGGCGCGTAGACAATGCATCTTCTCAAGACTTGCCCAAACCAGCAGTCTTTCTTCTT